AAGATAAGGACAGACTGTGAAAAAAATATTGATAATATATATAATCAGACATTTGACTTTCAGATAAATAATTTTAGATGTTTTTTTTCTGACAAAATTGAACAAAACCAAAAAACTATCTGCAAAGTGAATCTGAAACATCTCATAGTTTTAACCAAAATACTGTTTTAGATTTGACAATAAATTCATGCAGAACTCATTGGATCTTCCTTTTTCAATAGAGGCAAACAATTGATTTGAACTTGACCTTCTAAAAAAACTGAAGTTCTACCAACCAGATCTGCTTTGTGACATGTTCAACTTTTAAAGTGTGAGCGCAGCACCCGATCTCTGCATTGCACTGTACAACCAATTGGGTATTAGTTTCTATTAAGATATAATTTTTGAATGCTCAGTGATAAAAACAAACACACACACACACACACAGTACCCCGTACCCCGGGGTTTTGGGTGCTATACAAATTAGAGCTGGGAGTTGGGTCTATAGGCCTGGATGTGAGAGAGGCCGAGCAGTTAGGGGGTGGAGTGTGCTGTGAATACTAATGAGAGGTAGAGTGGTGGGAATGGAGTGGAACAATAGGGCCCCTCTGTGCTCCACTTTGCACCCCTCATAGACACAGTGAGGGAAAGAGGCTTTTTCCCAGAGCCCCTCCCCCCACCCCACTTCATTTCCAGAGACAGGACCTTCCTCATCACCGTCCTCATCATCAGTCAGCCTGGCAAAGCTCACGTGGAGCTGCTGATTATTTCTGATTCCACGCTAGCCTCTCTGCAGGGGCAACACTCTCATTCACATTCAGCTTCATCTAAAGGAAGGAGCCCTCTATAGTTTACCAATGCAGAATGTATAACATGTATCTGCTGAATGGGACACTGACTCCGGGAGGGGCAATGCTCCACAGACAGTAGGGTGTGGTGATTCCAGGTCAGTGGAGTGGGAATACTAGGATGCTCTTGGGATCTTTTATTCCATTTTATGGCTCTGCAAAGACCTGTGTCCAAAATTCGCGTGTGTAAAAATATTTCCCACAGCCTCCTTTTCTTTGTTCAGGCCAGCGTTCCCGCCATGCATTCTTGAACTGAGTTACCCTTACATAATCTGAGCATAATTTAATCAGCCACAACTGGTAAGGACTGGGTTATTCATGTTTGAATTTCTATCTTCCAGGCTACATGGGGACTTTCTGTGAGAATGACATAGATGACTGTGAAAGCAACCCATGTGTGAATGATGGAATCTGTCGGGACATGGTCAATGGCTTCACGTGCACCTGTCAGCCAGGTATGCTTCATTGGTTTACACTAATTTAAGTTGTTTGTGGTGAAATCTATGCTGCTTGTTAACTCCTAATGAATAAAAGTTCTGTAAAACTAGAAAAAACAGAATTTAAATGTTCTTAAAACCTGCGAAGCTAATGTTAGCTTCACCACTTCTGCTTTCTGGTTTTTCGAGCCAACACTCGTATAAAAAGGCAAGGCCTAAAGGCTGCCTATCCTCCTGCCTGAACAAAGGCACTATTGTGACCCCTGCTTCCCTTATCTGTGGAATGTGGAAGGGACAGCAGTCTCCCTCATTCTGCCCTGGTGGTGGTGGTGGTGCTGAGGGGGACAGCAGTTCTGCTAATGAGATTCTTTTCCAGGTCCGCAATTTACATCTGGGACAGACGTACCCCTTCACCCCCCATCTAGCTATTGAGCCGGTGGAGCTGATACAGGCAGTATAGGAGGAGGAGGAGGAGTGGGGGTCCCAAAAAGAAAGGGGGGGGGGGGGGGAAACAATCCCACCATCTTTTCTAAACACCTCTTTAGCAGCCCAAGCACCAAAACACAGAAACCATTTTGAAACTGTTATTCAACAGAGCAGTGTGCTATCAATGCACCAATTCACATCTTCCTGGGCTCTGTGCCCACTCATTCCAAGCCCACTCTGTTACTTCAACTTTTCAAAGTAATTTTTTTGTCATTGTTTTTATAGTTGGTGGTTAAAAATAACAACTGTCGTTTTCCACCCACAAAATATTCTATAAATTCACTTTTTTTCATACACTTTTAAGAAAAAAAAAACATTTAAAGAATTTCTTGTCAGAATGTCTCATCTTCTAAAAGATGATTAATCTGTGACAGTCAGCACTGGTTGCAATGCAAAGATGCCATGGCTTTAACCAGTCTCTCAAACTCTACCTCAGTCAGACATCGCTAATCTAACGGAAGGCCTCTAACAACTGCCCTCTGACCTAAGCATGGACCCTTTCACTGGACTGTCTGTCTGACCCTTAACCTCTATGTTTGCATGTCCCAGGCTTTACTGGCTCCATGTGTCAAATCGACATAGATGAGTGTGCTAGCACGCCTTGCCAGAATGGAGCAAAATGCTACGACCGGCCCAATGGGTTTGAATGCCGCTGTGCTGAAGGTAAGGGCTTCTATATATAATAGTTGTCAGTGGATAGTTGTTAGCCACTACGCTACTCAATATGTCCCTCCAGACATGGGAGCAGATGATCCTCAAGCACTTATCTGGTCCTTGCTAAGTATTCAATGGTTTGGGGTTGAACTTTTTCTTTGGGTGCCTGTTGCCCATACAGACCAAGTTGAGGACCCTAATCCCCCCCTCTTTCCCTCAGTGGCTCTCAGGATCACGGGGGTCACTGAGTACCAGCAGTTGTTAAGAAAAGAGTCTTGGTCATCACCCCGACATCTGTTCCTCCCTAAAAAGCCTGTTTATCACCTATTGTTGGTTTTAACTTGTATTCCTTTACGTTAAGTTTGTGTTTGAAAAAACAGTAACGTGTCAGCTTGTCAAAAACTGTAATCCAAAGCTTTACTGATATTTACTGTTTGTTTGCGTCGACGCCTACAGAGGAGCTATATTGTTTCAGTGGCCAGCTGCTTGGTATTCGTTGTGTTTGCGGGCCCCTTCTGCAGAGTGAAGTGGCCCTGTTAAAACGTGGCGCTACCCATTGTTCCCTTCACCACTAAGAACAAAAGCAAGACTGGGAGGCCTGTGTAGGGCCTGTTTTTATTGCTTTGCCCAACTTAACATTTCTCAAGACACGTAACGCACAAACCAACAGTTACATGCTATACAAACATACATCACTGACATAGAAACCACAGTGGTCAGAGTCCAAATCTGAGGAAACTTTTCTGAAAAATGAAACAGAATGAGAATGTTCATTATGGACAACTCATAACAAAAAACTCTTAGGATAGTCTTAGTCACAGATTAACAAATGCCTTTATTTTTTTAGGTTATGAAGGGAGGCTCTGCGAGAGTAACATCAACAACTGTCAGCCTGACCCATGCCACCATGGTACTTGCATAGACGGCATTGCTAGCTACACGTGTAACTGTTATCCAGGATACACAGGCTATCGCTGTGAGAATCAGCTGAACGAGTGCCACAGTAACCCCTGTCAGAATGGGGGCAAGTGTTTGGACCAGGTCAACAAGTACATTTGTCACTGCCAGCATGGAACTTCAGGTAGGAGGAAAAACCTTGAACACAACCCATTTTATATTGCAAGTCATTAAAAACTAACTTAAAATGCTCTGATTCATGTACTTTTTTAAAACGCTGAGTAATTATAGAAGGTTAATGTCTCTTTTCCAACCCAGGCACAAACTGCGAGATTAATTTTGATGATTGTGCCAGTAACCCATGTGATTATGGCATCTGCAAAGATGGCATCAACCGCTATGACTGTGTTTGCAAACCTGGCTTTACGGGTAAAGCTCTCTGAAACTGAAAAGATTAAATTTCAGATGGAAAAATAGAGTTTGTACTAAAAATGCTGACACTCTGCGTGAAATCTCTCATGCCAGGTCCCAAATGTAACGTGGAAATAGACGAGTGTGCGTCTAGCCCCTGTAGAAATGGGGGAACATGTGTTGATGAAGAGAATGGGTTTCACTGCCAGTGTCCTGAAGGTTTCAAGCCCCCTTACTGTTACTCCCAGGTGGATGAGTGTGGCAGCAGCCCTTGTGTCCATGGCTCCTGCAGAGATGACATCAATGGGTAAGAATGGCTTCTTTTCCCCAAACCACAGTGTGGCTACATGGTTAATTCTAATTTTTTTCTTTTGTACTACGTATAAGCAGCTTGTACCATGACACAAGCTAGAGAATATGCTACATAGTATCATTCTGTTTAGCAGCTCAAGAAATCAACCCAAGTTATCCTGCATGTTCTTGTAAAATGAGATAAAGTTCCAAAGCTTTAGCTCCACATTTTCATCAGTTATCAAGAACAAACTTAAGAATAAACTTAATATTTTAACTAAACCTCTTACTCTGAGATAATTCTTCTTATGCATTAGGAAAATACTGCGAGTTGAACCTGAAGTTGTTTCTAACCCTCTTACTTCCTTACCCGCCAGTAACCGTCTTTGTTTCACCGGTGGGCAAAAACAGTGCAGTTTCTGCCTTTAAATGTTTCCGGACGTTTGCAGATGCTACCGGTTTTTTTTTTAACAAGGATGTCAGACTTCCTCCAGCTCTTACCATTAGCTTGACACCCTTACATAAAAAAATGTCAAAAGGCAGGTTTTTCATGGGTCAACTCTTAAGGGGTTAAAAGCAACCATTTTTCAATCATTGATTCTATGCCTGTGTTAACAGTTACCGCTGTGACTGTGAACCTGGATGGGTAGGGAAGAACTGTGACCTGGACAGGAACGACTGTTTGCCAAGTCCTTGTCAGAACGCTGGGACATGCATCGACCAGCTCAACGGTTTCATCTGCAAGTGTCGCCAAGGCTTCAAAGGTGATCGGCGGCATCTGTAAACTGACAGCTATCTGCCTCCACCTAGTGGTGCAAAACAAAATTAAATCTGTTTGCCCATTTCCAAAAGTTCATCAAAGTTCTGCCTTAATTGTTGTTATTCTTTTTTTTTTTTGTTCTGTTTTCAGGTAGCCTCTGCCAGGTGAACATCAATGAATGTGCGTCTAGCCCCTGTCTGAACAAGGGCACTTGTGTGGATGGGGTGGCAAGTTTTACCTGTCTGTGTGAGCTTCCATATAGTGGACCCACATGTTCTGAGGTCCTCACACCTTGCTCCCCCAACCCTTGTGCCAATCATGCAGTCTGCACCCACACCCCGGACTATCTGGGCTATCAGTGTAACTGTCAGCCAGGGTGGCAAGGTTAGGAAGTTTTGTCATTTTATTACCATCCCATCTTTCGTCAAAATATCTGCTGGAAAGCTTACAAATCACATCTCTATGCATCCATTTTTTTTTTTTTTTTTTTTTGAAGATTTGGTTTGTCAGCTTGTGACCTTTTTGTGATTTGTGAGCTACATACTTAATGTGTGTCTGTGTGTGTGTGTGAATGTATGCGATTTGGGTAGATGTCGCCCCGGATTTATTGGTCCCCTCTGTCAGCACCTGGATCCCTGTCATCGATCACCATGTCTGAATGGTGCAGCGTGCAGAAGCCAGGTGGTTAATGGTCTCCCGCAGTACACATGTGTGTGCCAGAGAGGGTTCAGAGGTGAGTGTGTTTTTCAGGAGAATTTTAGTCTAAGAAAGCTACGAGTGTTTTTGACTGAGTGCGTGTCATCCACTTTCAGGCCAAGACTGCTCCCTCATCGACGCATGTGCCACAAGTCCCTGTGCCAACGGGGCTCGCTGTGCCAATTGGAATAACCACTACAACTGCTCGTGTCCACCTGGCTATCAGGGAAAAAACTGCCGCAATGACATTGACGAGTGTCGCAAGCCTGGCTCGTGTCTCAACGGTGGCCTCTGCATTAATGCTCATGGGTCTTTCCGGTGCCAGTGCCAGCAAGGATACAGTGGACGTACATGTGAGGTGTCCACCTTACCCTGTGCCCCATCTCAGTGCCTTAATGGAGGGACCTGTCGCCAGACAAGTGACCATTCCTATGAGTGTGCTTGTCTAGCAGGTACAACAGCTGTCTCTATGTAGAAACCATACGCAGTCTGTGTTTATTTCTCATGGTTTTCCCAGGCCCTCTGCAGGGTGCTGAAGTCCAACAGATTTTCCCAGCATGATGACGTAGTACTGTTGCTGGGATTTAGTTCTGTGTCTCAGGTCAGCTTCCTGTCTGCTATTAATAGCTTCTGATGGGATATGAGGTGGTGGGAGAGTTGAAGAGGCAGCATGTCTGTTCTCTTCTCCACTCTGCTCTGTTCGCTACAGAAGGAATTTACTTTATTAGCCTTCTAGTTTCCCACTGGGGACCTGACAGGAAATGTCCCCTGCCAGAGAGGAAGTCATTGAAACTGTGAGAGATTATAAAACAAGCAAACATTGAGGGGAGTGCAGACCTCTGGAGCAGGCAGGAATCACTTCCATTGCTGGCATTGTGTGGGAAAAGTCAAACGAAGACGTAAACAGTCAGACACCTTTTGAACTCTTTTACTGCCCACGTTACCCCACATTTTCTCCAGTGTGGGAAACGTGACTCGAGTGTAGGGGAAGAAATGTTTAGTATTCTGTAAAAGAGACAAGGAATGTTTATTAAACTCACAACTGTTGGGTGCTGCCTTATCTGTGTAGTGTAACACTTTCCCCATGAATCTGTTTCAGGGTTTGAGGGACACAACTGTGAGAATAATGTGGATGACTGTCCAGGTCACAAGTGCATGAATGGAGGAATATGTGTAGACGGTGTCAATACCTACAACTGCCAATGTCCACCTGAATGGACAGGTACAGCTTGTAAAATACAATTTGACAGTCATGTTTATTACATTGTTGGTGTATGTGAACCAATATGTCACTTTGTCATTGAAGGACAATACTGTGCTGAAGATGTCAATGAGTGTCTCATGCAACCCAATGCCTGCCATAACGGTGGTACTTGCTTCAACACCATTGGGGGCCATACTTGTGTTTGTGTTAATGGCTGGACTGGAGATGACTGCAGCGAGAACATTGATGACTGTGCAACAGCTATTTGCTTCAACGGCGCCACCTGCCACGACCGTGTAGCATCCTTTTTTTGCGAGTGCCCGGTTGGGAAAACCGGTATGTCACTTTGTAAATGGTTGTCTTTTCTGTGCCTCTAAAATGCAATTACCGGTAAGTGAAGTAAATACTCTTTATATATAATATTTGCACAGGTCTGCTGTGTCACCTTGATGATGCATGTGTGAGTAATCCATGCAACGAGGGTGCAGTATGTGACACCAACCCTCTTAATGGCCGCGCCATTTGTACCTGTCCTGCTGGTTTTGTGGGAGGTGCCTGCAATCAGGACATGGATGAATGTTCGATTGGTGAGACATCAGTTTTYTTCCCAACTTTCTGCCACATATTRCATTGAGTGCATTTCATAGACTGTTCTTCTGCTTTCACCAACAGGTGCAAACCCATGTGAGCATTTTGGGAAATGTGTGAATACTGAGGGCTCTTTCCAGTGCCAGTGTGGTCGGGGTTATACTGGACCACGCTGTGAGATTGACATCAATGAATGCCTTTCAATGCCCTGCCAGAATGATGCAACTTGCTTGGACCGTATTGGAGAGTTCACCTGCATCTGCATGCCAGGTAYTCAGACTTACTACCTGACCTCTGCCACTTGGCAGTTATACCTTTAAATCCCAAGGAACTGCCATATGGCAGATGTGAATAGCCCTTCTTGCCTCCAGTGTTATGTAAATGAGGCCATTACATTTGCAAGAAGTAACTAAAAKGACACTCTACTCAGCAACAAGTTGGTCTTCATGGAGCCCAGAGGGACTTCAGTGTAACTCCTGTAACTATTATGGTTTGATGACCCCACCCCACAAAAAATATCACCATTACCCAAAATTTAGATTCAAGTTTCAAAATGGAAACTGTGCATATAACAATATATTTTATATGAATCTAAGTGCAAGCAAGTAATAAAAGATAAAATAAAGTAAGCATGCAACAATATGATAACAAAAGTATTAGTAAATAGAAATGTAAACTATACAGAAATATAAATTATGCCAATAAGCCTATGTTCACTGTTACCTGGTACTGGCATATTTTGATTGAATGGCTGCACTCCAATCTAATGGCTGCAACAACATTTTTAAAAACTAAAATAAATATAGAGCCCATTACAGTTACCTCCATCGTGTATATTTGTAATATTGTAAAATTGCACAATAGTGAGAAACCTTTATTCTATTTTTTTCACTCAGCTTGTAGCCTACAGATAGGCTATTTACTTTTGTGTAATTTATTATACTGTATAAAGTTTATGCACTTTATTAACAAGTTTTCGTATGTCTGTAGTCATCGATCTCTTTATTATAAAAAATAATATTGAAATAATGTGAAGCTGACACAAAGACACTATTTGAACTGTAATTCCAAAACATCTCAAGTATGTCTCCTTTGTACAAATTTAGATTGTTTTCACACTGAAAAAGGTGACATACCAATTGGGCAAAATAGCTAAAGTTCAGATTTTTTTAACCTTATTTTAAGTAATTTTGTCTTTTTGGAAAACTGCCAATAGGTAAAGATATTTTTACATAAATTTATACAAAAACAACCCTCAGCTACTTGAAAAATAAGTTTTTTATTTAAACTTTCATAAAAACCTAAGTAAAATAATCTTATTTGGACATCTTGTCTTGTTTTAAAGTCAAAATATCTCACCCTATTGGCAAACATTTCTTGACAAGTCAGTATGACTCAAATTAAGATCAAATATTATTTTTCAAGCAATCTTTACGTATCAGGATGGGTTAAAATCAAGGGTTTCTTTCTTTTCCATCTGAGTCGGATCAACATTGTTCACACTATCACCTATCACCCCCGTTTAGCATTACCTGGTAGTGGCTGTATGTACATAACAAAAGGTGGTCCAATGGGTTGCAAATTACCCCACACTGCCATTTGGCAGTCTCTGGTAGAAAAAGGAGTCGTTTGAAAATGCTGGTAGATGTTTGTTCGTGTCCTTTTTTTAAAATGATCTTTACCACTTTCAAGAAAATTTTGGAAAATTCATATTTTATTTTACATTAAAAAAGATAAGGACAGACTGTGAAAAAAATATTGATAATATATATAATCAGACATTTGACTTTCAGATAAATAATTTTAGATGTTTTTTTTCTGACAAAATTGAACAAAACCAAAAAACTATCTGCAAAGTGAATCTGAAACATCTCATAGTTTTAACCAAAATACTGTTTTAGATTTGACAATAAATTCATGCAGAACTCATTGGATCTTCCTTTTTCAATAGAGGCAAACAATTGATTTGAACTTGACCTTCTAAAAAAACTGAAGTTCTACCAACCAGATCTGCTTTGTGACATGTTCAACTTTTAAAGTGTGAGCGCAGCACCCGATCTCTGCATTGCACTGTACAACCAATTGGGTATTAGTTTCTATTAAGATATAATTTTTGAATGCTCAGTGATAAAAACAAACACACACACACACACACAGTACCCCGTACCCCGGGGTTTTGGGTGCTATACAAATTAGAGCTGGGAGTTGGGTCTATAGGCCTGGATGTGAGAGAGGCCGAGCAGTTAGGGGGTGGAGTGTGCTGTGAATACTAATGAGAGGTAGAGTGGTGGGAATGGAGTGGAACAATAGGGCCCCTCTGTGCTCCACTTTGCACCCCTCATAGACACAGTGAGGGAAAGAGGCTTTTTCCCAGAGCCCCTCCCCCCACCCCACTTCATTTCCAGAGACAGGACCTTCCTCATCACCGTCCTCATCATCAGTCAGCCTGGCAAAGCTCACGTGGAGCTGCTGATTATTTCTGATTCCACGCTAGCCTCTCTGCAGGGGCAACACTCTCATTCACATTCAGCTTCATCTAAAGGAAGGAGCCCTCTATAGTTTACCAATGCAGAATGTATAACATGTATCTGCTGAATGGGACACTGACTCCGGGAGGGGCAATGCTCCACAGACAGTAGGGTGTGGTGATTCCAGGTCAGTGGAGTGGGAATACTAGGATGCTCTTGGGATCTTTTATTCCATTTTATGGCTCTGCAAAGACCTGTGTCCAAAATTCGCGTGTGTAAAAATATTTCCCACAGCCTCCTTTTCTTTGTTCAGGCCAGCGTTCCCGCCATGCATTCTTGAACTGAGTTACCCTTACATAATCTGAGCATAATTTAATCAGCCACAACTGGTAAGGACTGGGTTATTCATGTTTGAATTTCTATCTTCCAGGCTACATGGGGACTTTCTGTGAGAATGACATAGATGACTGTGAAAGCAACCCATGTGTGAATGATGGAATCTGTCGGGACATGGTCAATGGCTTCACGTGCACCTGTCAGCCAGGTATGCTTCATTGGTTTACACTAATTTAAGTTGTTTGTGGTGAAATCTATGCTGCTTGTTAACTCCTAATGAATAAAAGTTCTGTAAAACTAGAAAAAACAGAATTTAAATGTTCTTAAAACCTGCGAAGCTAATGTTAGCTTCACCACTTCTGCTTTCTGGTTTTTCGAGCCAACACTCGTATAAAAAGGCAAGGCCTAAAGGCTGCCTATCCTCCTGCCTGAACAAAGGCACTATTGTGACCCCTGCTTCCCTTATCTGTGGAATGTGGAAGGGACAGCAGTCTCCCTCATTCTGCCCTGGTGGTGGTGGTGGTGCTGAGGGGGACAGCAGTTCTGCTAATGAGATTCTTTTCCAGGTCCGCAATTTACATCTGGGACAGACGTACCCCTTCACCCCCCATCTAGCTATTGAGCCGGTGGAGCTGATACAGGCAGTATAGGAGGAGGAGGAGGAGTGGGGGTCCCAAAAAGAAAGGGGGGGGGGGGGGGAAACAATCCCACCATCTTTTCTAAACACCTCTTTAGCAGCCCAAGCACCAAAACACAGAAACCATTTTGAAACTGTTATTCAACAGAGCAGTGTGCTATCAATGCACCAATTCACATCTTCCTGGGCTCTGTGCCCACTCATTCCAAGCCCACTCTGTTACTTCAACTTTTCAAAGTAATTTTTTTGTCATTGTTTTTATAGTTGGTGGTTAAAAATAACAACTGTCGTTTTCCACCCACAAAATATTCTATAAATTCACTTTTTTTCATACACTTTTAAGAAAAAAAAAACATTTAAAGAATTTCTTGTCAGAATGTCTCATCTTCTAAAAGATGATTAATCTGTGACAGTCAGCACTGGTTGCAATGCAAAGATGCCATGGCTTTAACCAGTCTCTCAAACTCTACCTCAGTCAGACATCGCTAATCTAACGGAAGGCCTCTAACAACTGCCCTCTGACCTAAGCATGGACCCTTTCACTGGACTGTCTGTCTGACCCTTAACCTCTATGTTTGCATGTCCCAGGCTTTACTGGCTCCATGTGTCAAATCGACATAGATGAGTGTGCTAGCACGCCTTGCCAGAATGGAGCAAAATGCTACGACCGGCCCAATGGGTTTGAATGCCGCTGTGCTGAAGGTAAGGGCTTCTATATATAATAGTTGTCAGTGGATAGTTGTTAGCCACTACGCTACTCAATATGTCCCTCCAGACATGGGAGCAGATGATCCTCAAGCACTTATCTGGTCCTTGCTAAGTATTCAATGGTTTGGGGTTGAACTTTTTCTTTGGGTGCCTGTTGCCCATACAGACCAAGTTGAGGACCCTAATCCCCCCCTCTTTCCCTCAGTGGCTCTCAGGATCACGGGGGTCACTGAGTACCAGCAGTTGTTAAGAAAAGAGTCTTGGTCATCACCCCGACATCTGTTCCTCCCTAAAAAGCCTGTTTATCACCTATTGTTGGTTTTAACTTGTATTCCTTTACGTTAAGTTTGTGTTTGAAAAAACAGTAACGTGTCAGCTTGTCAAAAACTGTAATCCAAAGCTTTACTGATATTTACTGTTTGTTTGCGTCGACGCCTACAGAGGAGCTATATTGTTTCAGTGGCCAGCTGCTTGGTATTCGTTGTGTTTGCGGGCCCCTTCTGCAGAGTGAAGTGGCCCTGTTAAAACGTGGCGCTACCCATTGTTCCCTTCACCACTAAGAACAAAAGCAAGACTGGGAGGCCTGTGTAGGGCCTGTTTTTATTGCTTTGCCCAACTTAACATTTCTCAAGACACGTAACGCACAAACCAACAGTTACATGCTATACAAACATACATCACTGACATAGAAACCACAGTGGTCAGAGTCCAAATCTGAGGAAACTTTTCTGAAAAATGAAACAGAATGAGAATGTTCATTATGGACAACTCATAACAAAAAACTCTTAGGATAGTCTTAGTCACAGATTAACAAATGCCTTTATTTTTTTAGGTTATGAAGGGAGGCTCTGCGAGAGTAACATCAACAACTGTCAGCCTGACCCATGCCACCATGGTACTTGCATAGACGGCATTGCTAGCTACACGTGTAACTGTTATCCAGGATACACAGGCTATCGCTGTGAGAATCAGCTGAACGAGTGCCACAGTAACCCCTGTCAGAATGGGGGCAAGTGTTTGGACCAGGTCAACAAGTACATTTGTCACTGCCAGCATGGAACTTCAGGTAGGAGGAAAAACCTTGAACACAACCCATTTTATATTGCAAGTCATTAAAAACTAACTTAAAATGCTCTGATTCATGTACTTTTTTAAAACGCTGAGTAATTATAGAAGGTTAATGTCTCTTTTCCAACCCAGGCACAAACTGCGAGATTAATTTTGATGATTGTGCCAGTAACCCATGTGATTATGGCATCTGCAAAGATGGCATCAACCGCTATGACTGTGTTTGCAAACCTGGCTTTACGGGTAAAGCTCTCTGAAACTGAAAAGATTAAATTTCAGATGGAAAAATAGAGTTTGTACTAAAAATGCTGACACTCTGCGTGAAATCTCTCATGCCAGGTCCCAAATGTAACGTGGAAATAGACGAGTGTGCGTCTAGCCCCTGTAGAAATGGGGGAACATGTGTTGATGAAGAGAATGGGTTTCACTGCCAGTGTCCTGAAGGTTTCAAGCCCCCTTACTGTTACTCCCAGGTGGATGAGTGTGGCAGCAGCCCTTGTGTCCATGGCTCCTGCAGAGATGACATCAATGGGTAAGAATGGCTTCTTTTCCCCAAACCACAGTGTGGCTACATGGTTAATTCTAATTTTTTTCTTTTGTACTACGTATAAGCAGCTTGTACCATGACACAAGCTAGAGAATATGCTACATAGTATCATTCTGTTTAGCAGCTCAAGAAATCAACCCAAGTTATCCTGCATGTTCTTGTAAAATGAGATAAAGTTCCAAAGCTTTAGCTCCACATTTTCATCAGTTATCAAGAACAAACTTAAGAATAAACTTAATATTTTAACTAAACCTCTTACTCTGAGATAATTCTTCTTATGCATTAGGAAAATACTGCGAGTTGAACCTGAAGTTGTTTCTAACCCTCTTACTTCCTTACCCGCCAGTAACCGTCTTTGTTTCACCGGTGGGCAAAAACAGTGCAGTTTCTGCCTTTAAATGTTTCCGGACGTTTGCAGATGCTACCGGTTTTTTTTTTAACAAGGATGTCAGACTTCCTCCAGCTCTTACCATTAGCTTGACACCCTTACATAAAAAAATGTCAAAAGGCAGGTTTTTCATGGGTCAACTCTTAAGGGGTTAAAAGCAACCATTTTTCAATCATTGATTCTATGCCTGTGTTAACAGTTACCGCTGTGACTGTGAACCTGGATGGGTAGGGAAGAACTGTGACCTGGACAGGAACGACTGTTTGCCAAGTCCTTGTCAGAACGCTGGGACATGCATCGACCAGCTCAACGGTTTCATCTGCAAGTGTCGCCAAGGCTTCAAAGGTGATCGGCGGCATCTGTAAACTGACAGCTATCTGCCTCCACCTAGTGGTGCAAAACAAAATTAAATCTGTTTGCCCATTTCCAAAAGTTCATCAAAGTTCTGCCTTAATTGTTGTTATTCTTTTTTTTTTTTGTTCTGTTTTCAGGTAGCCTCTGCCAGGTGAACATCAATGAATGTGCGTCTAGCCCCTGTCTGAACAAGGGCACTTGTGTGGATGGGGTGGCAAGTTTTACCTGTCTGTGTGAGCTTCCATATAGTGGACCCACATGTTCTGAGGTCCTCACACCTTGCTCCCCCAACCCTTGTGCCAATCATGCAGTCTGCACCCACACCCCGGACTATCTGGGCTATCAGTGTAACTGTCAGCCAGGGTGGCAAGGTTAGGAAGTTTTGTCATTTTATTACCATCCCATCTTTCGTCAAAATATCTGCTGGAAAGCTTACAAATCACATCTCTATGCATCCATTTTTTTTTTTTTTACTTTTAGGTCAGCTGTGTAACATAGATGTGAATGAGTGCCTGTTGAACCCCTGCAAAAACCGTGGGACCTGTACTAACACACTTGGAGGCTTCAAGTGCTCTTGCAGAGCAGGGTTCACTGGGCTAACCTGTGAAACAGACATCAATGACTGTGTTCCAAGTGAGTTGCTGCATAAATGTTGCATGAAGTCTTATTAAACCTGTCTGTACCTGTCAATGAAATATCAGTATGCTTACTGTATTTGATGAAAGTGGTTTTTTTTTATTCCTTGTGATGCCAGATCCATGCCTAGGTGGAGGTTCTTGCACCGATGGAGTGAACTCATTCCACTGTAGCTGCTTGCCAGGGTTTACAGGCCCCCGCTGTGCTCAGGAGATCAATGAATGCCAGAGTTCCCCCTGCAAAAACAAAGGCACCTGTACAGACTATGTTAACTCTTACACTTGCACCTGTCCGCCTGGCTTCACTGGCATCCACTGTGAAATCAACATCCCTGATTGCACTGAAAGGTTTGTGCGTGTTTGAGTTGTGTGATTGTCTTGAGTTTCACTGTAAGTTAAATGTCTTCTAAATTCATTTGGGAAACGTAACTATTTAATGCGTTGCTTTCCTTTTTGTTACAGCTCCTGCTTCAATGGAGGGTCGTGCACRGATAAAATCAACGGCTATTCTTGTACATGTCGCTCAGGTTTCACTGGGTCCCACTGCCAATATGAAATCAATGAGTGTAACTCGCAGCCTTGTCTCAACGGTGGCGTTTGTCAGGATGCCCTGGAGTCCTTCCGCTGCTCTTGCCCTAAAGGCTATACCGGCAACCGATGCCAGGTATAAACCGTTATTGATAGTTGGAAATACTTGTAAWAATTTGAGTCCTGAAAGGTAAATTTTGTTAGCAGATCATTTCTAAAATAAATTATATCTGCCCCTTGACCACTCTAGACACCAGTTGATTTGTGCAGACGCTCTTCTCCATGCCAAAATGGAGGGCGCTGTCGCCAAAAGGATTCTTCTTTTACCTGTGAATGTTCACCTGCTTGGTCTGGTCGGTATTGTGACATCCCAAGGGTCTCATGTGAGATAGCTGCTCGCCAGCAAGGTAATTTTTTTTTATTATCTTTAGTTAACTTGATTTCTTTGAATTTGCATATTGAGTGAATGAACTTGATGTTTTTTTATCGGCATCTTTCATGTTAGGGATCCAAACAGACAAACTGTGTCACCACGGTGGTCATTGTGTCAACACTGGAAATACCCACTTTTGCAAATGTCCTGCTGACTATACTGGAAGCTACTGTAAAGATCAAGTGGACCAATGTGAAGACAAACCTTGTCGCAATGGCGCCACCTGCAGGTCATATGTTGGAGGCTACCAGTGTGATGTGAGTTAAACTGTTTTAACAAACCTTTCATGGCATAAATCAGGGGGTGTCAAACTCATTTTCATTGAGGGCCACATGTGCGTTATGGTGGCCCTCAAAGGGCCAGTTGTAATTAACTTCATGTTTAACTTGGGCGGAACACGAAACATCACCGTCGTCTCATTGCTATGAGCACTGCTAACAAACAATAGCTGAGCTCTACGTGGTACTTCCTGCATAGAAACAGAATTTTAACACGTCCTTTTATGTACGACTGACTAATTGTGAAATAAATTATACAGAAATTGAGTTCTGGTCAGTAACTGCCATGTTGAATTATGAACTCTCCCACTTTCCAACAGGGAATTCCCATGCATAACCTACATGCATTATGGGAGATGTAGTTTATGGTCAATACTGGCTTTAAAGCAGCTTATTTTGAGACATTAATACTCAGCTATCTAACTAAATTACTACTTAAAGTATCTTTCACCTTTTAAATTAGTTTATTTTGTTGCATTTAATTATAAATTTGAAGTTTACCAATGACATGAAACTATTTTCATATTAAGAACAATTTATTTTATTTTATTTTTTTATTTATTTKTGGGGGGATCAGMGTCACYCRTGGCCTTGAGTTTGACACACATGGTCTAAWTTTGCAAATCAGGTTTTATTTAGCGCTTTGACTAATATTTTGCTATGAATGACACCTTGTCATTACAGTGCATGCCAGGCTACACAGGACAGAACTGTGAGATAGAGATCAACGAGTGTCAGTCTCACCCATGCCAGAATGGAGGAACTTGCATCGATCTGGTGGGACATTATATCTGCTCGTGTCCACCCGGCACATTGGGTATGGAAACACAAATGCAACAGAAGTCTGTGCTGATTAGTAAAGAGATTTTTTTTCTTGTCATGTTGTCTAAGAAACGACTATGTTAATGACGACCATTTTCTTTAAAGGTGTTCTCTGTGAGATCAATGAAGATGACTGCGCTCCATCGYCGAGGCTGCATGGCGCTCCACCAAAATGCCTGAACAATGGAACCTGTGTGGACAGAGTGGGTGGTTATCGCTGCAATTGCCCCCCTGGTTTCACAGGAGAAAGATGTGAGGGAGACATAAACGAGTGTCACTCCAATCCCTGTAATCCCTCCAACAGTTTTGACTGCATCCAATTGCCCAATGATTATCTGTGCGTCTGCAAACCTGGGTTTACAGGTTAGACTATTTCTAATCTTATTGGCCTCTTACTATGTATCATGTTCATTAAAATAATTGTAATGATTARAATTATTATTATTATAAACTTTTATAAACATTGCTTTTAGGTCGAAGGTGTCAGAACAGGTTCAGTGTCTGTGAGTCTCAGCCTTGCCAGAATGGAGGAGCTTGTTCAGTGACCAGCTCTTCCCTAGGGTACACCTGTACATGTCAACTTGTAAGTTTTCATTCATTYGAATTGGTTTTAAARTTTGCAAATAATAGCACTTWCACTGAATTTGAATGTAATATTCATATTATGCCTAAATTATACCTCTTTTAGGGTTATACTGGTCCAAATTGTGAAAGAAGCATGTCATGTCGTGAGTTGCCCTGCTACAATGGAGGGAGTTGTGCCATTACGCCACGAGGTGCACGCTGCAGCTGTTTGCCTGGTTATGGTGGGCCCCAGTGTCAGCATCGCAGTAATGATGGGTGTTCCTCCCAGCCATGCCGGAATGGGGGGTTATGCACTGAAGAGACCAGCTTCCCATACTTTCACTGCCAGTGTTCAAGTGGGTGGACAGGGAAAAGGTGTGAACAAAGCAAGCTGGAGCTCCCGGTGCCCTCCTGTCTTCTGGCGGACTGTAATGGAAAAGCCAATGATGGTGTTTGTGATAAGGAATGCAACACAGTTGCTTGTCGTTGGGATGGTGGCGACTGCTCTTTGGCAATGAACCCCTGGGCTCACTGTACAGACCCCCGCTGCTGGCGTGTTTTCAACAACAGCCAGTGCGACGAGTCCTGCAACAACGCCGACTGTCTGTACGACAACTTTGACTGCCGAACCAAGGAGAAAGTTTGCAAGTAAGTTTGCCCATTTTTTTTTGTAACAGTTTCTTCTTGTTTGCACAGACCTGGGAGAACCTCCAACTGATCTTTCTGTTTGTGTCTCCAGTCCAATATATGAGACCTACTGCATCGATCACTTTGCTGACGGGATGTGTGACCCTGGCTGCAACACAGAAGAGTGCGGCTGGGATGGCTTGGACTGTGCACGGAAGGTTCCAGAAGAACTTGCTGACGGCGTCTTAGTTTTGATAGTGCTTTTGCCCCCAGATGAGCTTCTTCGCACAAGAACAGCATTTCTGCAGAAATTAAGTGCAATCTTGCGCACTTCTGTACGCTTCAGGAGAGACGAGAACGGRGATGAAATGATTCATCCCTACACCCGTCGAGAAGCGCGTCTCAAGAGAGAGCTAGAGCCTCAACAGGAGGTTGTCGGGTTAGTCAGACAGACAGTGCAAAAAAAAAAAGGTTTTCACGTTAACTACAAAATACAAAAAACACTTTGTTCTCTGCTTTTCTTGTAGCTCCAAAGTCTATCTGGAGATAGACAACCGTTTGTGTTCACATGGTCCAGAAGACTGTTTCCCTACAGCTAACAGTGCTGCAGAGTACCTGGGAGCCCTGTCTGCAACAGATATGCTGAACTTTCCATATCCCCTCCAAGAAGTCAAAGGTGAATGGATAAACTTTAAACTAAACAAAAATCCAATTGCACAAGCAAGGTACAAATATGTAATAATTAGTTTTCTTCTTTCAACACAGGTCAAAAAATCACTCCGGTCGATGTTGAAGATGGTGATATACCACAGTGGTGCAAGCTGGTTCTGGCAGGGATAGGTTCCTTTTTAATTCTGGTCATTTTTTTGATGGGCATGCTGATTTCTCGCAGAAAGCGGGAGCACAGCACTCTCTGGTTCCCTGAAGGCTTCTTTCTCAAGAAAGAGCCCAGCAGTAACAAGAACCGCAGAGAACCTGTGGGCCAAGATGCTCTTGGAATGAAGTAAGTTATTTGTGAACACAGCTTTTATTGCTGGGACTGAACTGCTAACGCTACAGGAATTTCTTTCCAATTTGAATGCATTTTTTTAAAACTTGGATCTTCTGACCTATAAACAGACACATGCCCAAAACTGTTGAGGAATCTCTTCTGGGAGATCATAGTGAACAGTGGACAGACTCGGACTGCCCTGAAGCAAAAAGGCTTAAGGTTTATACCGTTAAAATAAATGATCATCATCAATTTGAATGTACACGAGCATGATATTTCACACTATATCATTTATTTATGAATTCAGGTGGAGGAGCCAAGCATGCTCTCAGATGGTGAAGATGCAGTGGACTGCAGACAGTGGACCCAGCACCACCTCGCAGCTGCTGACATCCGTGTGCCGCCCACAATGGCCCTCACTCCTCCTCAAGGAGAATTTGAAAGCGACTGCATGGACGTTAATGTCCGAGGCCCAGGTTGGTGGTGGAGTTGTTTAAATACAAACTGCATCACTCATTTATCCGGTAACAAACTGACCCCCCTCTGCTTCATCCCAGATGGCTTTACACCTCTCATGCTGGCATCGTTCTGCGGAGGAGGCCTGGAACCCGAGGTGGCGGAGGAGGAGGAGAACGAGGAGTGCTCGGCCAACATCATCTCTGACCTCATTTACCAGGGCGCGTCCCTCGCTGCCCAAACAGACCGGACCGGCGAGACGGCGCTCCACTTGGCCGCTCGCTACGCTCGGGCTGACGCCGCAAAGAGACTGCTGGACGCTGGAGCGGACGCCAACGCTCAAGACAACACAGGCCGCACGCCTTTACATGCCGCAGTGGCTGCAGATGCACAGGGTGTCTTCCAGGTAATCAAGCTCCAACACATCCTTTTTTTATAGAATCACTTTTATCAAGATTGCACCTTTCTTTGCTCGTCTCTTTGAAATGATGGATTCAGTCTTCTGTGTTTTTGATTTCCCACCTTTCCAGATTCTAATCCGAAATCGTGCCACTGATCTGGACTCCCGTATGTATGACGGCTCCACCGCGCTGATCCTGGCTGCGCGGCTGGCAGTCGAGGGCATGGTCGAGGAACTCATTACTTGTCATGCAGATGTTAATGCGGTTGATGAACTGGGTAAGAGTTTTGTCATTTCCGCTCAAGTTGCAGCTTTTTTTTTTTTTTTGATGCAAAACTAATTTAAATTCACACAAAAATAGTTTCTACATATAATGATGATGTCTTCTCTAGGTAAATCTGCTTTGCACTGGGCTGCTGCGGTTAACAACGTGGATGCCACCATTGCCCTGCTGAAGAATGGAGCTAACAAAGATATGCAAGATCTCAAGGTATGCCGCAGTTTTTTCCACAGCACTGACTTCACATATGTACATTTGTTTGTGTTAGTTAAGTGTTGATTCATTTTCTTTAAAAATCAACAACATAAATTCAAAAAAAACCTACAAATCGTAAATTAAATGAAAGTTAGCAGAAGAAGAAAACATCTTATTATATCTGCCCCTTTTTCTCAAATAAATAAATCAAAAATAATCTTCAGATTACAAAAAGAAAAAAAATAAATTAATGGATTTATTTGTTCAGGACAGTGTGCAATTAAAACATAATTTGATGCATTGCACCAGATTTAGCCTAAGGCTAATTTACGTCTGTAGTCCCTTCAAACAGTAAAAACAAAACAACAACCAACAGTAAATTAAAATAAGAGAGGAAAAAAAACAGAAAAATAAAAATGATATAAAATAAAACATTATGCAATTAAGAATGTTAATTAAATATTAATTTAAATAATAAAGGTTTAACTCCTTGAGCTACAATTTATACATTATACATTTACATATTTCTCCAACAAATTTACCTTTATCATTCTCTTAAATTTACACATTGATCTGGCATTTTTAATGTCAYCCTCCAGATTATTGCATAATCTTATACCCTGGACTGAAGTACTCCGTTCCTTCAAACGTATCCTAAATTTAGGTTTAACCATCATCTCTATCCCCTTGAGATCATAACAACGCTCTCTTTGTTGACCAGCCTGTTGATTTTGTTGTACTTTCTGTTTGCTTTTSCAGGAGGAAACCCCCCTGTTCCTTGCGGCTCGCGAGGGCAGCTGCGAGGCCGTGAAGGTGCTGCTTGCGCACTTCGCAAACCGAGAAATCACCGACCACATGGACAGGTTGCCSAGAGACATCGCTCAGGAGCGCATGCACCACGACATCGTGCAGCTYCTCGATGAGTACAACACAGTAAGGAGCCCGCAGGGCCATGGAGGGCCTGGACATCAACTCACCGGGGGGCACACCCTGTCACCACTCATGTGCCCTCCCACCGCCTTCCTCCCCGGTCTGAAGAGCACCCCGCAGGGCAAGAAGAGCCGTCGGCCCGGGGCCAAGGGTTCCAGCCTGGGAGGCCAGCATGCTGCTAGCCTGAAGGAGTCGGTGAAGGCTCGCAACAAGAAGCTGACCCTGGACATGCAGAGTGCCTTACTGGACAGCTCGGTTACGCTGTCCCCAGTCGACTCACTGGACTCGCCCCATGGGGGAGCTAGCAACGCTGGCTACATCACCAACCCCACGTCCCCCGTGGCCATGCAGTCGCCCATTTTCCACTCCTCCATGTCTGTCCCGAGCACCCCAATGGTTCATAGCAGCATGCTGGAAGGAGGGGGTCCCTTTGCAGTGTCGCTTGCCCAAATTAGTGACCTAGGAGCTGGGGGAATGTCTTTACCAGGCCGCGTCTCRATGGCTTCAGACGTCAGTCACGGTTACGTGCTGAGCTCTGGCCAGCTGGGGGTCAACATGGGCATGGTCAGTCCCGTTAGTGTGCCCTTTGACTGGCACAGCCGCCTGCCCCCCTCCTCCCAGTGTGGTCAGCAGGTCGTGAACATGGTGCACAGCAGCCAAGCAAGCATGCATCCTCAGAGTCCAGCCATGCAGCAGCAGAGCATGCTGATGCACCAGCAGCTGTACTGCAGCCCCATGCTGCAGCCCACGCCTGTGACCTCCACGCCCGCCATCAGTCCAGTGAAGCTGCCCTCCATCGCCGAGCAGCAGCAGCTCATCAGTCACAGCATCACCAACCAGCAGAGCATCGCTCGCATGAGCACGTCCACTCCACCGACGCCTCAGACCTCGCAGCCCCCGCCGTCGTTCTTCCAGCAGCAGCTGCCCCAGCAGCCCTCTCAGCTGAAGCCCCCCGCTCAGCCCGCCCAGGCCGCCACGTCGGCAGTCCAGCCCGCTCCGGCTCTCCCCTCCCAGCCAAGTGGCAGCACCGCAGGGAACGAGGATTATCCAACGCCTCCCTCCCAGCACAGCTTTTCTTCGACGCTAGACGCCACGCCCAAGCATTACCACAACTTGCCCAGCGAGCATCCCTATCTCACCCCTTCTCCAGAGTCTCCTGAGCACTGGTCCAGTCCCTCGCCTCACTGCGTTTCTGATTGGTCAGATTCCACACCCAGCCCAGCCGTCGCTGTCCCCAACCAGACCCAAATTACTCAAATTCCAGACGCCAATGGCAAGATGCAGGTGTTTGCATGAACATTCTACGATCCCTGCCTACAAAAAGACACGGGGTAAAAGAATCTATGGACTTGCTTTTGGGCCTGTCTGGGTTTTTAATGTCAGTCAGTTTCCAAAATATTTATTGGATTTGGATTGACAATGTTTAACATGAGGACCGTCTGCTTGTGATTGTTGCAGAGGGGAAAAAAAAGTAAAGGGAAATATATGTTGTCTGATAAAACAGCAGACAATTTAATGAAGTATTTCTGTCACAGATAGATTTGTTTTTTATGATAAAAAAAGAAGTATATGAAGAAAACCAAGTCTTTAATTTCAAAGACTTTGGGACACGTTCTGAAAACTAACAAACGTTATAAAAGTAGWTAAGACAAAAGTGAAATGTTGAAGGGAATCCATTTATTTTTATTTATTGTTTTGATCTATCCGAACAGCCTTTTAGTTTATTTTCTGATTATAGCAAACAGCAGCCAAGATGATAAAGGGGTTTTAGCAAATTAACTTCAAGATTTGCTCTGCAGTAGGGACGTTTGATAGAACAACGGTAAATCATTTCTTCCTATGAGTATTATGAACAAGAATGTAGATGAGTGTCTGAAGCACTTCATTTGAGCTGCCCCTTTGGGCAAGTCTCAGTCAAATAAAACATTGGACTACAGTGTATATTTATAATATAAGAGGGCATTTAATATTTGTTAATTTTGCATTTAATCTTTAAAAAAAATCAGCAGAAAGGTTTTTATGTGCGATGCTTAATTTTTTATAGCTTCTTATTGTGACACTAAGATCTTTACTGCCAGTTTTATTTTCACTGCCAATTTGGCCTTCAGTTTCCAAGTGTTCTTCGTTCTATTTATGGTTCCTTTTTTTTTTTTGGCCTGTAAAATCAGCACGTCACTGCCCTTACATTTTATTTTGTATTGTTTTATACTTTGTATATATGTGGAAATCCATTCATACTTTTTTAAAAAAAACATTTCTTCAGATGTATTAAGCTATGCTTATATTTGGCTGCTATTTTATATCATTCTTTTTCCTCGCAGACATTCCTTTAATTTTCCTGTGTTGCTGAGTTTGGACGTGTTGCCCTTAAAGTGACAGAACAGAACGAGACAACAGCCGAAAGGATTGTTACAATGGTGTGAAATGGACTGTTTGCAGAAGTTCAGATCTTGTTGGTGCTCTCACCTTATGGTGGTCACTGTGGGTGGGAACCGCTGGACTGGAACTGCTGATGCCCTGTCACTCCTCAGGGAGGTGTTTTATGGCATGCAGAGGGACCGTTCCCCTGCATCAGCAGTAGATACCAGTCCAGGAGCCGTGGAGCTACATCTTACTGTTGTTGTAAAAAAAAGGAGAATGAGGGGGAGGAAAAACACTACTGTGTAGTGCTGCCCCCACCCATCCTCTAATTTTTTTTCTTTACTAAATTCAGAAACTGTTACTCACAACTATTATATTTCCAAGTAATCTTAGCATGTAAGAGAGTTTCCTGTCTCTTTAACACCTTATGCACATTTCAGTAATTTTTGTTGTTGTTTTATGATAAAATGTTGACAGTAACTTTTGCATTTTCATCTCATAAGAAGAGATGAGGTAGCCCACCACTCCTAGCTACTACTGCGTGGGTTTAAACACTGCCTTTAGTTGTGTCATAAACTGAGTTTATCTTTATGTTGTTTTATCCTGTTCATCACAAAAACAGCAAATGTTCTATTAGACCTGGGAAGCATGTTGTTCACTGTCTTATTTGCATTTTGCCTACATGTTAACTTTTTTTATTTGTCTGTTTGTTCTAATTTTATTATAACTGGTCTTACAATTTTCCCCACCAGGTCGCACTAAGTGTTTTGTACATTCACAGTTACAGTTCCTGTTTGTAAATATGTTTGTTCTGGGTAGATCATTGCTTGAGAAGTCTTATGTTTCAGAAATATTTGTTATGTACTAAAAAGGACAAAAATAAAGTGTATTTCATTTAGCATTATTTAAAGTCCAGGCTTTCACTGATCTTTCATCCATCTTTTTAAAACACTCAAATGTTTCCTTTTAGTCTTCATTTCTAAAATAATTTCAAAGTCATTTTTATCTCTACAGTTTTTCTTTTTGACAAAATTTATTAAAGAATTCGTTCATTAGAAAAATATGTTTAACATCTTTGTGTTCTGTTTTTTATGAGGAATCTAAATTTTAAAAAGTAACATTTTCAACTCCATTACATTGTCCATTTGCTGATAAAGCTGCTTTTCAATTATTTTTCTGAATTTTAGTTTTTTAATTTCCCAACATATGTCCAACCAGAGGAAGAGGAACCAAACTTTCTTATAAAAAATTAAAAGAAAAAAAACTGTATAGGTCTTCTGGACGGGTTCTCCTTTAATGAAACGTTTCGTCTCTCCTCCAAGAGACTTCTTCAGTCTGAGAG